CTACAATACAAGGGTGCAAAGTTGATGCAAGAAAAAACAGCAAGGAGTGTTTGTGTTCACTAGAGGAATTATTTTCTCAAATGCATCATTCAACATCGTGTTACGGCCTCTAGACTATATACAATCAAGAATAACATGTTTAAAACTTGAAGAAATAAAATCAAGCAACAAAACAAGCTGACATTTACTGAATAACTTGAACCTTAACATTGATCTTTAACGCCAAATTTTCAAGATATTGCTTTTTCATCTTCACCGTTTGTCGCGGTTGACAGCATTGGGAAATTATTCTCAAGTCAGTCTCACATTTACGCTTTATTCTATCTGCAAAACAAAATAATTTGATTCAACATAATACAACAAAACTTTATGATTTGATTTAGACTAGACAAAAAACTTACCATATGATTTACCCTTAAAATCAGGCAAAATTATGATCAATAATTGCAGTTTTTCCTCCTGCTTTGTCCTATCAAGTGTTGTCTTGCACTTCTTTTGAAGTTTAACAAGCTCTCTTTCGATTTGATTTGGATTCGCAGAGTTCAATTCAATTTGATTTGGATTCGCAATGTTACTTTTTTTTTCTTCCAAAAGTTTGATGATTAATGTGAGCAATGTAGTGGACAAAGTGCTCATGCAGATTTAAAATATAGCAGAAACTTCCGGAGCTGTATCTATGGAATAATCTAGCGCTTAGACGTTCCGGATGTGCATCTACAAAAACTTTCTTAAACTGAATTATTTTGAAGTTTTTTTCAGCGTTAAACAGTTTAAAATTATTTTGTAGTGTAACTGCGAAAAAAAACTAAATTTTAATAAAAAATTGTGTGTCCAAATATGTATCTTCAAAATTAAGAGGCATAAAAAAAAATTCGTTAAGTATCTAAAAATATTAAAAAATGGATTAAGAAATTTTCAGATTTTTATATTGGAATTTACAACCCAAAATGTTGAGTCCCCGTTTTCTTTTAGACCCTGTACAATGTAAGTTGCCACCAACTATTTTGGCTTCGTTCATTTTATAAAAAGATATATTTTTAATTTTAAAATCTGTGTTAAGTTTATTTACTAACATGGAGACACTAATATTTTAAAGTGAATAATTATGTGTAATTTTAAACTAAATAAAATATAAAAAATTATTTTACTGTTACAAAAGGAAAAGCTAATTTTCCGTCCTTTTTTCATTAGAATAATTTAATTTAATGAACACATATTTTAATAATGAAAATAAAATATTATTCTATAAATGAGACAAGTTCTTGTTTTTCAAAATGAAATTATCACTTAGTTAAAAGATAATTATTTATTCACTAATTGGTTAAAAGAAAAACGTCATTAAAGCCCAATCTATTAAAATAAACAATTGGCAACTTCTTCTCTCGTCTTTAAGGTGTGACTCGCACCATTGAAAACTCGTATTTGTCCTCAGGCGTTTTCAAAGATGTACAAACACATCTTAGATTACCTTATCCTTTGTAAATTAAGCCGTCACTCCACCTCTGCATAAAAATTGGTTTGAAGATGCAACTGTGAAATTTTCTAGGATATATTTAGAGATACATCTTCAAAAACAACTTTGGACCTCATTTATTTTACATTTTTCATTGAGCTGATTTATTTAAACACTCAGTCACATTTTTCAAAATGCATCTCTGAAAATGTCAAGTCGGAAATTGAATATAACACTAGCATGATCATCTCTCTCACACTGTATATCACTTTCATAATCTAAAACCCTTAAAAAAAATTCATTCTTGATCAAAATTTTGACTCTAAATCATCATTCTTAAGTTTTATCACATCAAAGGGAGAAAAAGAAGCTTTAATTTATGTTAAAGTTCACTCATTTCATCCCTCATTTCTTGCATTAATCATGTTATTGAGCTGAAAAAATGTACGTTAAGTCCGGATGTGCATCTCCGAATTTAACTAGTTTTGTTTCGGATGTGCATCTCCGAATTTTACTGCTAATGTGAGTTTTTTAAACCGTTTTTCTTTTTTGATTCGTATTAGATATGGTGCACCCATATATGTTTCCCAAAGATTATGTAATTAATGATGCAAAATCGGACGTAGTGAAGGATAATGTTAAACCAAATGAAATGAAGGATGATTTTAAAGTGATTGTTGCCGAGATAGATGTTGGTCAACATTTTAGAAATGAACAACTGACCGAGTGGAAAATAATACAAGATGTATTTTCTAAAGAAGATGACACCATAAGATTTCACATCAAAGAGCAGTCAAGGAAGATTGCCTATCCATAGAGAACAAATTTGAAACCTCATTCGGAACCTGTTAAAACCAAAGGTGCCCATAAAAAGGTCAAACCGATACAAGATGACAATTCAACGAAACAATCTCTTTCATACTTTTAACATTTTGATTCACATTGCACATATTCTCCAACTCCGAAATTTCAAAAAAGAATGTTTACAAGGCGACTCGCATTAGCAAACCACCTCCTTCACCATCGATGTCGTGAATAATTTACATTGAAGAAATACCACTTTTTATGCAAAAACACATTGAACGGATTGTAAATGTTAATGGTGATGGTAATTGTGGTTATCGGGTCATATCCGACTTGCTCAGCAAATGAGAGAAAAATTACTTTCTTGTCCGCCAACAACTTTTAAAAGAGTTGACGTCGTATAGGGAATTTTACACATCGCTATACGGGAAAAAAGAACATTTTGACGCAATTCACGATACTCTTATTCCTTCTGTTAACAGTCTCGTACCGGAGTCAAAATGGACGTGTTTCTCTAAAATGGATCATCTTATAGCAAGTGCATATAACATGGTATGCATCAATCTGACAAGATATAGTTTCTCAGAGACATTTTTTCCACTTTGGAATGGCTTACCACAAGATCCATCTGGACGCATCATGTGTATTGGGTGACTTTCAAAATTCCTACATTTTGTTGAGGTTTATTTGAAATCGGGGCGTCTTATACCATGTACATCATTGGAGTGGACGACACATTCCACAAAAGAGATGGAAACACGGCCGAATCAATTTTTGAAAAGGATGAAAGATTTCACCAAATTATGCGAGATTGAAAGATAATCAAATAAGGAAAAGTCAGAGAAGGAACCAGTAGTAGATTTATGCGGCGGTGCATCTTTAGATACAAGTTAATTGTAATCGATATACTTTTTTTAATGTGTTGTTGTCAACTTTGTAATCTTGATAATATTTAATACATAAGTAATATATATTCAATAATGATGGTGTAAATTTGCAAAGTTTTATTATTTACATTTTATGTTTTTGTTTACACAATTTCTGGTGTGGTTCTGGTTCAGGGAGATTTCAGATATGCATACCGGGATAATTTCGATGCTAAATTAAAAACAAAACACAATAGGGCAATTTACAGATGTGCATATCTGTAAACACTCTTTTTTGTAAAAAAAGGGTTTATTTGGAGATGTAACTTTGTAAACCGCTCTCTCTTCATCAATGGCTTCCCAACAACAACAATCATTTGCTCAACAGTCTCAGTAACAACCACTACAAGAACAACAAGCTCTTCAATAACATCCTCAAGTTACTGCTGAAGATCTTTAAAAGTATTGCCTTTAAAAGGGTTGTTTGTAGAATTGCATCGTCGCAAACACCAGAGTACGTTCCTTATCTTCTTCTATCTCATGGAACACCATCTCCTTTTCATCCAAGCAGATATAAGTATACTGAAGATTCGTATGACACTCCTGAAGTCACAATTTCAACACCTGAAGGATATTTGGAAGTTATCAGTGAACTTATAGTTGATTTTGATAGTTTGAAGGATCATGGCTTTGACCTTCTTCCTGCTGTTCAAACTCAAGGTTGGGATAAATATTTTGATCGTCTTCAAGGTCTAGTTTCCCAGTTCTTGTCAGGAAATTATGCAGTCATGCCAATACCTCCTTTTCTCAAGCAGATTTTATTTTTGGAAAAAAGATTTTCATAACTTAGAATCTCATAGCAAACTCACTGGCCATGATGGAAATGGAATCAGGTGTGAACTGATGGGAGAGAGAAGATCTAATATTGCTGAGGTGATCAAAGATATTACCACCTTTGGAGGTCATGCCAATAAAATCAAGAACTTTCATCCTATTCTTAAGATTTGGGCAAGAATCATTTTTGGTTGTTACAATCATAGAAAGCCAACCAACTCTCTCGACTACATCAACCTTAATCAGCAATATGTTCTTCATTATATTGCTGCTGATATGAAACTGAACATGCCTTCATTTATCTTTCGGTTCTTAAGAGATTTTGTGAAGGATTCAAGGAATGGAAGCAAAAAGATAAATACTTGGATTCCGTTTGGGAGATTGATTTCAGACGTTCTGATGGAGAGCCGTCTGATAGACTCTCTAACATAAGATGAAAGGTCTCAACGACTAGTATCTTCAGTGGCAAATTTCTTCAATGCCAAAATTATAAAAAATATGGGCATGATTTCTACTTTCAAAAGCCCAGTTGTTGAGATCCCCAAGGAGGTCATCCTCAACAGAAGGATTCCTCTGGATGATTTTCCTATTTTCTCTAATCCAGAGTCTGAAAATTTTGAAGGTAGAGATGTCAACAAAGACTCTACTAATGTTGCTCCTTCAACTTCTGAGCCATCCAAGGAGATAAGAAAGTTTTCTCAAAAGAAGAAAAGTAAGTTCGCTCAAAAGCCTTTGGAAGGAGATAAGGAAGTTTTCCCAAAAAGGGATAAGGATGTGAAGCAACCTCTAGAGACTTCTTCTGAAGCATCCAGAACTAATGATGTTACTTTTTCTGCTGGATCTGTTGTTCCTTCTGATGCTACTTTACTTTATGCTATAAATAGTTCATTCACCCCTTCATCCACATTTACTTACTCCATCCCATTTGTTCTGGAACCCATTGCTCCCTAAACTACAAATCTAAATTATACTTTTCCAAATCTTACCCTTTTCTTCTAAACTTTAACTTCTTATTCATCTGAACTTTAACTTCTGATTCTTCTACCTTCATCTGTTCTTGATCTTCTAACCTTTCCACCACTTCTCTTAACATAATCTCAATGCTCTAAATTGTCCCGACTGGGAATATCTCACCCCAAACTCTTTCTACAACCCCTCAACCCTCAAACACCACTCACTCTGATATCCAAGGTAATGAATCACCTATTGATTATGATCTGGAATCAGACGTTGAGCTCATTGTTTACCCACACAGACTCTCTCACCCCTTTTCTAACTAAACACTCTCTCAAACCAACATCCGTCCTACTCCCATGGATGAATTATTTGCACAATTTTAAAAGGATGTTGTTGGCAGATTTAATGCTCTCATTGAGGCTTGTAAAGATACTGCAAACTTCTTTTAAGAGTGTGATCTGATCAGCAACTTCAGAAAATGGATATAGGTCAGTTTTGAAGAGCTGGAATTTTCATGGCTGAAGGAAGTTAAGAGGAACTTCCATGCCAGACTCTCTGGTATTGTTGAACTTCTACTTTAGAAGGTTCCTGCCACTCTTCTGCTCCCTACTCTAGAAGTGATTCCTCCTTTCTCTCTAGTTTATACATTGGTTGCTTCTGAGGATACTCTAGAAGCTGCAAGCGAATGTGGTGTCAAGAAGACTTTTGATTCTGAGGAGTTC